GGCCGGGACTTCTCCTCTTAATCCGATAGCAGCCGCAAGATCTGTGATGATTCCTTCAGCAACAACTTCAAACAGTAGACCACACATTCCACCGAATCGCCCAAATGTACAACCTGCGCAGTTTAGAAAGGACATAAAAAATGGTATGAACAACGTGAACAAACTGCGAGACAAACAGATCGCTGTAAGAGGCATGCTTATCAATAATCCCAATGCTTAACCGCGTGGTAAGTTTCTATGAATTCCATTTAAAGAAATACTAAAGAAATGAACCTAGATAGTAAGTTATAATTTAAAGGTTTACTCAAATTTCCTCCACCGCCCACGGAGCCACCACCACCGAACGAGCCTATGGGCTTCAGATTACCACCTCTTAACGGTGAATATAACAACAAGGTTTCTGGTCATCTCAATAAAGAAATGCAAACGTCCCAAGAATGGAATGTGAAGCAAATGAACACACTTGAGCGAGAGAAGAAGGAAGACAATGCTGCGTATGCAGTAGCCAACAAAAAAGTACCTCCTCAGAAACCTCGTCAGAAACCGGCACTTCCAAGTTTACCAAAAGTTAAAGCCTTATATGACTATGAGTCAAAGGATCTGGACGAGTTAGGGCTCAAGGAAGGCGACATCGTGGAAGTACTCAAAGAACGTGAGTTATTGTAATCTGCTTGTTTGCATAATAAATGATAATAAATTTAGCAGCGATATATGTAAAAAAAAGAATAAAGTTGGTAATGTATATAATTTTTTATTAATATTTTTATCACTGATATAAAAAAAATAAAGTGTGAAACCGATATATTTATCAGAAAAAATAATTTTTGCTATTAGTTTGCTTTATAATTAAGTGTCAAAAAATCAGCTGACAATATTTTTTTTTAGATGAGGGCGGTTGGTGGCATGGAAGATTAAAAGGAAAGACTGGTCTTTTTCCCTCCAATTATGTAGAAAAGATATGAATTGTGTAATCGAACATCAAAAAATCTTATCCTCCAGAACAAGTCATTATGATATCAAAATGATATCAAAATGACTTCATTAAAAGTCATTTTTCTATCATTTTCGATTCATTTGAATGCCATTTTGACATTATCGTGACTTGTTGTTCTGCTTGGAATTGAATTACATGAAATCAGAACATAACTTTAATAAGTACATTGTACCTGTTATTCGCAATTTTCGTGCTCTATAATAATATACTTATTATTATATTATTATTATATGTATCTTATTATTATATGTATCTTTAATTAAATAATATTAGTAGAATATCTATATTAATGCCAAAGCCGGAAAAAAATCAAAGAATTCATAATTGAAAGAAAGCGCGATAATTTGTTGAAGATATTCATCGTTTAACAAAGGTGAAATGAAAGATCAAATAATGGTAGTTATGAAATGATAGTATTATATAATCATTTAAATATATTTTTATCTAAATGTTCAAAGTTACAAACAATATATTGCTTTTAATTGCTGTTAATTAATGTACGATATATATGTAATCTGTTTAACTTTTGGTACTGTACAGTGCGAAATATTAATATAATCAACACATTCCCTGCCGGAAAATTTCGATTAAAACCGAGAACATAATCCATTTTAATCGATTATAATCCAATCTGACTGCAATTTGCTAAGCCCCAGTTCCACCAATGTAAGATTAATTTTAATCTCGGTTCAATTTATCCTTTATCTTCTTTTAGTTCTGTAAATTAAAAAAATAAGTAGTAAGCCGAGTTAAAATTTAATAATTTTACATTGGTAAAATCGAGCCTTAAAAAGACAACATTAATCCGTTTCAATTTAAAAAAATTCATCGATTGCCCGTATGCAATTTCAATATGTTTTAATAATATTCCATTTTTAATATTACAAATAGATTTGTAATCAAGTTTAATCCGACATTCACAATCAAATTTTTCTCATGAATATTATATTCGATTATGTGTATAAATAAAAAAAGAAAATCGTATTTATAATAAAGTTATATTTATTGAATTTCGAATGGATTTCAAATATTTGGAGGTTTGTATAAATGTCACTACATGAATGAATTGATATCACTACATGAATGAGTTGATATCACTACATAAATAGTTTGTTTTTCATATCACTTATAAAAACTTGAAACTGAATTGTGTACATAATCTTCTGTCCCATCAATGTACGATACATTGAACGGTTTGATAGAATTAATTATAATTCTAGATATTTGAATGACATTTATTATTTAATAGAATGATGTGTATGATTAAAAACTTATGTGTATATGTGTATATTAAAAATTATAATAAAAAAAATACACTTAAATTGGGAATTAAACACTTAAACAAGAACTACTTAAAGATTAAAGCTGAAATTGTACTTCTTTTGTAAAGATGTTATGCAGTTGAGAAAGAAAGATAAAGCTTTTGCGGATTATTTCACGATAGATAATTAAATCTATTTTAATGCAGTTGAATTCGAATTTATCGGCAGGACTAGTATGACTAACATGACTGGTAAAGTAATCTATTTTAATAAAAAAAATTCATCATTTCACAGAAGAAAAGTAAATCGATTTTATGTGAATTGAATTTGCTATTGTTATAAGTCATAATCAAGCATGGCAAAATCCATTTTTATTCCAAAATTAATTTTAATTATATGTAGATACATGCATTTTATTATAATAAGAATGAAATGTCACTTTTAGTATCATCAACGTCATATTTATTGTTTCCTTCTGCAGTGCTTTATAAGTCTTTCTTATATAGCGAATATTGCGTGATACGTTTCTTCCTTTGTTCGCTCGCATTCTCATATACATTACGCTTAACATCGGCAAAGGAAAATAAAATAGCACATCTCCACAAGCATTGGCAAGAACGATTATTTTTACAATAATTATCTTTCATAATAATACAGAATAAAATAAATTAAAAATTAATTTAGTGTGCTAAGATTTTATAAACATACAAGTATTTATAGGCACTAGAATAATAAATTATTGCTAAATTATTTGTTGTTTAATCGACAGCCCCTAGTCGCGTTATCCTTAGAACCGCGAAAAA